AGAATCGGATTGTCTGGAATTGTCTGGAATTGTTGTTGTGCTAGATTGGTGTTTTCACCTATAATCACTGCTAAATTCGATTCAAAGTTGTCAGGTGTGATATCCTGACAAATGCCGACATTATCAAAATGCTTACCGTATACAAGTTGATTAAAGTTGCAAGTTGTCTGTCAAACTCATACTTGATGCTTCAATCGGACACGATTAGATGGTACAAGGATGTATCAACAGAGCCATTATTTGTCAAAAAGCGTATGTTACAATAGTAAACTTGAATTTGGACTTTTCATGCTAAATGCATCTCAATCCCTTGAATGGACACAATTGTATGATGCCAGTTGTATTAACAACATTGAATTATCAAATAATTGGAACAATTGGAATGATTGAAAATATGTCATTTCAGTTGTAAAATACAACCATCACTTTCTACTCTTCAAATCTGGTTGTATTAATGGGAGTTGTATAACGTATTGCATCAATCCATGAATGGGTTGTACCTGCTCTGTGCCATCAATTGGTTTGAAAGTCTGCTTTTTGAACTTTTCAAACTGGTGAGGTGGAACCACAAAATAAAGTTTGGGTTCATCATACAAATTGCACAGTTTTGTAAGAATATCAACTTCGCGAATTAGATGTTCAGCAGCAACTGTAAATTGGAACATTCCCTGTCGACTGAGTGAATCAATTGCCACAAAGTTATCGTCATCTGTCGGTTCGTAATAGTTGCCATCAAGTGCTGCAGCAGTAGGGATAGTATCTATTCCAAATGTAATTCGTTGACCATTGAGTGCATCCAAAGTGATCTTTGTTGCTTTACCATCTTCCAGGCATCTGCATTTGAGAGTTTGTCCACCAGTACAAAAAACCACATGTCCGTATATTTCAAACAAATGTCTTGAAATCTCGGTTGGAATACCATCAAACATTTGCTGCATATTGGTAATCATTTGAGCAGAATGACGTTTCCAGAGTTGTTCTCCAACATATCTTGAAGCAATATCAACATGCAGGAATTCGTACTGTCCGTCGTCCGACACAATGATATGAAGCAATGTATGAGTATTTGCAGATATTTTGATTGTGAATCCAATGTTGTGTACCCCTTTGACTGCATCAACATCAGTCAAAGCTTTCTCCATTGGATTTGATACAATATCAAAAACAGAACGAGCTACACCACCATACATGCGATATCTCTCATTGATAGTCTCAATGGGTACATCCGGATAGCAATGACGTCGACAAGTCTGTAACTCATTCAAAGTCCAAACAGGAAAATCCCATTCCCTTGCCATTTTTTGTTTGACGAACTCCTTGTATCCTTCAGACTGAGGAGATGACATGAACAAGACAATGCAAGATGATGATCTTGGAGTCGTATGTCCATCAACAACATACAATGTGTCTTGTTTCCAAACCAATCCCTCCACTTCAAGTCCAAGCTCTGTGACGAGTTGTTGCTGCAAGTCAAAGCATTTGTACGAGGATCCCACTTGATAAACAATCCGGTTTGGCTTCAAAGACAGAGTTTTCGTGGTAAAGTCATCCATCAAGCGATGCAATATGTAGACAAAAAACAGTGACTTTACGATGCCTGATGTTCCAGATATTGCAAATGATTCCATGCCACGATCAATTTGATCCAGTAGCAAGCCAAACACATCGTGATAGCACTCTCTAACATATAGTTTTTGGATTTTGTCTTGGGTGTATGGGAAAAAGACATGATCTGTCGACTGTATACATTCATCGACCAGCTGGGCGTTTGCAAACGACTTGAACTGGGTTGTCAAAACATTGGGTTTGGTACGTTGTCGTTTAGGAGAAAAGTCTTGATGGTTTGCTGTTAATAAAGAAGTAGAACCTGCATCAAAAATGGCACTTTTGCTTGGTTTCCTGGTAGGTAGTGGTAAACAACCAATAACAACACAAGAACCATATTGAGTAAAGTATTCTTGAGGAAGAGAGTCGAGTAAAGCCCAGGTGTTGATTAGTTGGTCCTTGTTACTGTTGGAGTTGAGGAGTGTTAAAGAAATCAGACCTTTGTTGAAGCAATCAGACTCTAGCCGATTACGAACCGTTCAACTAATTAACTTACATCGGATATAATATCCGAGCAGGGTATTATTCAATTCTAACACAATGTAACACTAGTGTGTCACATTGTATATCCCCTAATTCATAACTTCACCATCATTATTGACCCTTATGTTTCTATAACGACCCTACTTACTTTAACATTGTATTCATAGTTACCAATCATATGTAACTGTATCCCATTATAACAACACAGCTAACAGCTGGAATCAATCCTATTGGCCAAGTTATCTCCGGGTACTATAGCCTATTATCAAATACTACCTGTTTGAGCCACAAGCCTCAAACAATCTTTTACTATAAGAACTAAGACACTTTCTTATTAAATAAATATCCTCTGAATCAATCTTCTAAATATCATCTAAATATCATCTGACATAACTTCGTTATTATCTATTAAGTTCAACTCGTTATTCTGTTGACTTTAATTTGCGTGACTACTTCCTGATTATCATTCAAGATCTCTTCTGACCGATCTTTTCTACAGCGGCAGATTATATATTATTACCTTATACTTTACTAATTGAAAGACTCAGTCTCTTTCTCTATTTTCTATCTCTATACTTCTTGCGCGATAATCAAAATCTTTAACAAGGAGCATCAATGTCAGCCATAGCAGGACCATACTCAGACTTGATAGTATCCTGAACGTCACTCAGGTCTTCAAAGTCAGTCACATCGATTTCAGTAGAAATAGTGTCGTATTCAACATTGAGGAATCGTTTTGGCATTTTATGAAAAGAAAAAGAGTAAAAAAGCAATTTATTTGTCAAATTGTAAAACAAAAATCGACTTTTTAATCGAATCAAAATAACAAAATTTCGGGATATTTCAAGACAATTCACACGATTTAAATATTTGGAAATTAGTCAAATTTACACCAGAATTAATGTCTCATTAATGTGAGACATTACTAGTGTGAGAGTGTTGACTTGCATTGTGTGAGACATTAGTAGTGTGTGAATGTGAGACATTTCTGGATAGTTTAACAATCAAAAACCATCAACAATGACGTTTGAACTGGAATTCACATGACTTTCTTGGTTTCTTCCATTTTATGAACACACTCACTCACTTGTTAATAAACAACACAATCAAATATTGATTCATTCCTTCACATCTTCAATCAACTGCAACACACTTGACAATAATGACAACCATCAATATGCCATCATATGTTCACGATCCTTAGCTATTGTCCATCAAACACGCAATGCAGTCAATGTGTAGTAACCATTGTATATTGCAATGCAGAATACAGTTACTGCATGATGAATACCAAATGGATTCATTTGACATGAATACGGTTGTAAAACAAAGTGTCTGTGGCCATAACACTCATGAAGGGTGCTTTTTAATATACTTGATCAAAGGGTCATAAAAGCATAGTTCAATTGGCGCGAAATCAAATTGATCAATATGATGTTGTGGACAGGGAGCACCACATTGTCTAGTTTGATAGTAACCCACTACAAGAAATCAAGTAACCCTGTGCCATTGGTTAACCTAAAAGGGTTGGTTTGCTATACAAAACATACAAATACAATCGATTACGTTCAATATTTTAATCGACACCAGTCTCAACACTACTTTCTACTAGTCGTTTAAACCCATTGACCAATCTGATGAAATTGGTTGATATTGTATTCGTACTGACTGCGGCAGCAACTGCCAATGCAATACTGATACCGGCTGATAACGATCGTTCACCACAAGCATCAAGCACTTCCAGTCAAGTGTCTGACCCAACCAGTGAGCCTAATCCAGGAACTTCCAATGAGTACCAGCAAGAATCAATGGATTTGAGTATTCACAACCGAATCCAGCAACGGCCAATGTATCAACCCAATCCAAATACTCCCGGTCCAAACCAGCGACCAACTGTGATTGTATTTGGTCCAAATGTTCTCAAACAAGGCAGGAAACGCATAATTGATTTAACCACTTCCGACCAAGACCAACAACAACCAACAGATGTAGCTGGGCCGAGCACTGCCAAACGAGGTCAAACACAACCAATTGATCAGCCCAGCCCAAGTACTTCCAACCAAAACCAGCAACAACCAATGAACAAAGTCGAGCCAGGCAATGCTGCTTCAAATCAAGTGACTGAATTAAGTGAAAAAGATCAGAAAACCTTTGATAGTTTAAAACAAAAGCTTGTAGCGTCTAAAGAATTACGAAACAAAAAACGCAAAGAATATTATGGATCTATGGCTTTTGGATACAAACAATGGTCAGTGTTATCAATGGGCAAAGATATATCTGGATCAAAATACGATCCAGACACTGAAAAGAAAGCAAGAGAAGAGTATAAAAAGGCAAAGTATAGAGTAACCACTATCAGACAACAGTTGAAAAGGTTTATGAAAAGACATGGTTTGAAATTCTAAGAGCCAGATTCGGATTGATGATTTTGAATAAATTTAAACTTTCTGGTATGTGTTGATGTTTGTCGGGTATTGTGAATGGGTCAACAATCATATTATTGATTGCATATTGTGTTTGGTATTAAATCAACAGTTACTGGATTGTTGATTGATACATTGACATGGTTTGTTCCATATACATCGATGACCTGATAACAACCAGTGTTGGTTATACGTGTAACTACCAGTCATACTTGCAATCACTTGTCAGTTGTGTGGTTTCATGATACCACTGTTAATGATTTTAGGTTTATAATATAAAATATAAATATAACTGAGCTTTCAATATGTATAATATAATATAGTCTGCCGCTGTTGAGAAGATCGGTCATAAGAGGACTTGAATGATAATAAGGAAGTTGTCAAGGTAATCAAATCAACAGAATAGAGAGTTGATTTAATAGATAGTAACAAAGTTATATCAGATGGTATTTAGATGATAGTTTATTTAATAAGAAAGTACCTTAGTTTTTATAGTAATTGACTATTTGTAGTCGATATAGTAAATAGCACAATGCTTGGTAACAAGTAGTTGTGACCGTAATTGGTTTGACCAATAAGACTTATTCCTTTAGTTGGCATTTGAACGGTTGATAAACGGTCAATGTCTGATTTCTTCAACAGTGTCCATATGTGACTCATTGTATACGGGACAGGACTGACAAGTGTGTCTGAATTGATGACAGATGATACAGCCTATCCAATAAAAAGTAATACATTGATTGTGTTTGTATGGTAATAAGCTTCATAACTTCCACTTCTGAATGTATGAGAATCAACATTCAAACAACGGATACGTCCAATGACTCTTGTAAATGCATTGATAGAGTGTTGTTGAATAGTTCGAGTGTTTGCAAATCAGCATCACTGGAAATAGTTACTGTTATTCAGACAGTCAGTTGTCCAGACATTACAGTTGTAATATTACACATTTTCCATTGTTGCTGGATACCAATATGCTTACATTTAAAGATGAATGCTACCAACAAAATATTCCATTAGAACTGCAACTGTTGCTTCAAGATCATGGACATATCGTTGTAAATCGTTTCAAATATCAGTCTGTTACCCCATTTTAAACCAATTCATCAATCTCCGATTCGGCTTGTTCAATACTCTCCAGCAGCTTGCATTCCATTCCTACAACGACTTGTTCATCGTATCCATGTTTACAGCGTTTGTTGTTTTGACTGCGATTTGCATCAACCCAGAATAATGGAATTTACCATTTCCTTTGTAGAATTTGTCCATAATGTCTGTTTTAATGTAGTCTTTTGACTGTTTTTCGACACAAAAGTCGACAATCATTGCTTTATCATCGACTTGACCGCAGTTTGATGAGTTGTCAGCACAATCGCATATACACAGGATATGAAATATCAAATCCAATCAAAGTTGGATATTGTTTGCTGTATCCTTGTCAACTCGGACAATAGCACCACATGGCAATACTTGATAGCAATGTAGACTGTTTTGGTGCTGTGAGATGCAATGATACAACGAGTTTCAGGACCCATTCCAATATGATGCAGCATATTGCAGACAAACAGTTCATTTGTATCTGGTTGCCTGATACCTTTTACATTGTATTGTGTGGGTCTGTACTGACGAGTCTTGATGTAGCAACAAACAGTCAGTTGTTGTTGACATTCCAAGCGAATCTGGTCTGGATTCCGTTTTTCTTTGGAGATAATGAGACCTCGACAACTTGTCAATGTCAGCCTTGTAGTGTTGAATGACAGTATTGATTGACAGCAGTTTGAATCGGTTACGTATTTCCATCCAGATACTGTGATATTGGCAAGAAGGATCTTGCAGAGTTGTTGGTTGTTGATGGACAAGTTGGATATAAAGTTGTTTTCAATCAATCCGTTGACAGTCATGATAGCATACTTTGATTTGTATGTACGCAATACTACTGTCATCTTGTGTATGGTGTTTCGTATTTCCACAAACGCACTCTATTTCCAGCTGTTTTCTTTGTAGACATTTGATGTTGTGTAACAATGAGGGTGTAAAATGTAGTACAGAAATAGACGACTAAATTACAATTATTCCAATGGGTTTAGCACTCTTGTTCAAGTAAAACGATATCATCCGATGCTCACTATACACTACTTGTACGTTGAATCATGCCAATCACTTGCTATTTTAACAAGTATGGAATATCACGGCACATATTGATGACCAACTAATAGTCGAGTGTCAACTCATTCCAGTTTTGGTTTATACTCATTTCTTGACCCTAACCCTTAACCCTAACCCTTTTCAAAGTGAAGCTTTATAATCAACCACATGATATTCGAATATATGGTCAAATAGCGGCTCAACCAAGGTTATAGGTCACCATATAAAGGGATATCCCTTCAAAGTTTGGCATTGATCACAAATCACAAATCACCATTCAACCCTGACAACACAAGCCCTTGAAACGGTCATTCAAGGGATATGCTTTTAATACTATCTATTCAATAATGTATATAAATGTTTCAAAACTTGACCTGTTGAATGACATTACAACTTGCTCAACCAAACCAGTAAAATGAAACTCGCAGTTGCTGTATTGTCATCGATCTTGCTTGCCTGCTCGGTTACTATTGCCAGCCCAATTAAACCTAGTGCAACTACAAGCACCAAGTCTAGCACCTTGACAGTTCTTCCCAGTTCAACTACAAGTACTGAAGCTAGCACCTCGCCAACTCCTAATCCAAACGGCATAGGTATAAGTGGTCTTTATCCACTTCCAAACATCATCAAGGAATTGCTCAAAGAATACAAGAAAACAAAAGATAGTTTTCATGAGCAAAAAAGTGGATATCACTCGATAAGATCTAAATATGGCGATCAATATATACTGCTAGGACGCTCGGGGAGAAAGATTAAAGTTTTGGAATATAAACTTCGAGAAAGCGGCGGCAATCCAGAATATGATGGTGAAATTCGGAGGAAAAGGGTTGATCTTCAAATCCAAAAATCCAAACTTGACGATCTTGGAAGACGCTATGATGAGTGTGAGTCCAGATATAATCATCTTAAAATTAAACTTCAGGCCATCAATGAACAGCTCGTGAAGTCCGTTTTTGGAGAAACCTGGAATTCTGGATCATTTAATCAGAAATATCTTCTTATCGGCTCACATCCTTCCGTTATGGAATACCTTGAAGAATTATGTGGTCAAGGACAATCATCAGGATGCAGTAATAATCTTGATCAGAATCATGGTGATCAGCAGCAAAGTCAAGATCCGCAACCATCATCGAGTAGACCATCTGGATTTGGATCCTTTGGACAGAGAGTTTCCGCTTTTGGACAAAGAGTTTCCGCCTTTGGACAGAGAGCTTCTTCCAGTATACAGAGAGAAGCCTCCAGGCTTGTGCATAATGTTGGATCACTCTTTCAGCAACCCAGAAATGATGGTTCACCCGTTTGATTTGAATGTCAATCTGTTGGTTTCAACTGATTCAATTGTCATTATGGTTTAATTTACAATAAATTTGGATTTGCATGCATTGTATCTGATTATTGTACACGGTCTTGGTTGACATGGTATCATAGTGTACATTGACACTTGTATTTCCAATACAATACAATACAGTTGATTGTATATTGCATAGTTGTACACATTGATGATGCTGACATGCATGTGTGTATAGTGTCGATATGATATTGCTTGGCATGTCGTATTGGCACATGCAACACCAATACCAACAATAGTCATGTGTGTTGATATCAGATCCGACCAATTTGACTGGTTTGACTCGTTGATTGTGGTGTCAAAATGGTTGCATCAATAGCCTGACTGATCACACAAATCAGTCGCAGTATCAACTCTGTCGTGTATCAATTATCACATGTTGAATATACAATGCCAACAATATGGTCATTATGCACATGTTGATGTATCCAATGATCGTATACTGATCGATTGGTGCAATATGATCACACTAATGGAATGTGATAATCATGGTATTTGCAGCAGTATACTATATTTCAACTGTTGATATCGCACATCCAGTATCGACATGATCATTCAGATATACAGTGATGGATTCAATCCATACCATGTATTACCAATGCAATAGTATGCGTAATCATCGTGTATCAAACAACTACAATACACACTGAACTGATCCAATACATGCATGGCTTGAACATATCACACAATCAAACATGAACACACCACATTAAAAATACATACAGTATCAGTTTGTCACTAATGAATTGTATTCAGTCGAGTTTATTGAGAGTCTGTTTGTGACTCTTGACAGCGTGGTGGGTGTTTTCAGGTACAGCTACTTGATCAGTTGTAGTTGATGATTATTAACACCAAGAGTCCTGACGTACATCATCCATGCAACAAATAACCAGTTTTATTGCTATATCTGTTTATCCCTCAAGTTTCTCGTAACTAACTTTTGAATGCTTGTTACCACGACGAGTGCTACCACGGAGAGTACTACCAAGTCGCGAAAATGATCTCCCAGGAGTAGATCTGCCACTTGAACCTGAAGTACTTGGTTGTTCAGGCAATCTAACAGTATGCATCAAATTCATGATCAATATATCAATTAACACACTCACACATCAATATCAAACAACTTACTGTGATGGTGACCAGAGCACTCGATCACCGTTTGAAATAATAGGATATCCGTCAGTTATGATTTCGCATCCACATCCAGGACCAAACCCAATGCGTTTATGTGTTCGATCAAATGTCAATCCAAGTCGAACCATAAATGATGTACCAAGAGTTGCATAATCATTTGAACCAACTGCTACAGCAAATCTAACTATAATCCAACATTATATTAGTCAGGTTAATCAAACAACACACATTACATACAATTATCAAATATTTACCATGTTTAGAATCATATCTCCACATATAGTCTCTAGGACTCAGTGTGATCGTTACAACGGAGTTGCGATTGTCATCAGTTACAGGGGTTTCAGAATACATTACGATTGAAATCGTTGGCATCATGCCCCAATCGATATTGTATTTGGATTCGGACATTAAATGATTTTTCCGCAATTTCCTTTGGATTTTTCTTTTGCCGAGGTGATCGTTTCTAAACATAGTTTTGACAGTGATCGCATCACTATCAAGAATAGTATTGATCAGCACATCCACGACTACTTTGGGAAAACGCATATATAAAAAGCATGTTTGTAGATACGAGTACAAAGTACGTCCGTTTTCCACAACTTGCTGAAATCTCTCGGGCAGATCCACTGGTTTGCCATTGATTAGTATACTCTTGATGTTGACAGTATGATGATCGGCTGATGGTGATTGTACCCATGCAACACTCGTTCCATCCGTTCCACATTTTGGAGTTACACCCGTGTTTCCTATATTGATGAAGCTTTCTGAAAGCATTCCATACGGACATATTTGAAGACCAATCTCATTTTTAGGAATGATACCACTATTGTACAAAACATCCATCGCAGTGGATTGTGGATGACGCTTTGACAACGAAGAATAGGCAAAGCCAAATAGTCCTTGATCGATTCTTCCACCAATGCCAATTAGATCTGGCGATTGTTTTTGAATTGCTATTACTGGTAAATCCATGTCAATTATCTTGGTACCCGGAATCGTCACATCGGCTGTGGAACTAAATGCATTATACTCTTCGCCTTTGTACTCTATCATAATACCTTCCTCATTTAGAGTACTTTTTGAAGTCAAACCTACACTGCTTCTTGAACTAGGAAGTGGTACCATTATATCAGAAGCTGCTGAATCGACTTGTAAATTCAACTATTTTAAACACGACAGGTGTGAGATTGATTACACGTGGTGTAAACTGATATCAAACTACAATGCATGGCATGACATGATACATACATCAATTCCATTAACATTGAGTCCTATTCGGAAACATTTTCTAATACCACCACCCAATTGAACGGGTGATCGTTTTGATAGCCTATTGTTTGATTGACTGGTAATTTCAAAAGGTGAATGTAATGCAAGTTGAACTGCAGCAACCGCTTGTAACGCAAGTAGAACGCATTCTAGAGTAATCAGCATTGTATCGAGTAGTGTGATGGAAATGGTTTGAATCTAGTACATGATTGCCGTTTTATAACGACGGCAGTTTCAAGGGTGACAATCAACACTTTTCAAATAAATAATCACAGAAAATACCAAATACACCATATAGGGTTGACAAAGCTGGAAACACCCTGTAGGGCGAATCAATATACAAACATTGCTGTTGGTGTATAATCAACTTCAATAGTATGCTGTGTTGATATTTCCAATTGCGGTGATGTATTTAATAATCAGGTAGTATCACCCTGCTTATGGATAGTTGTCATCACACATACAATCCATTACTACAACATATACTGTCACTGTATACCAAATATTTGACTGATTGTTCAATTGGTCATGTTTTTTGACCAGTATCCATTTTGTATACATGTCGGGTTGTTCAATGACTTGCTATCATGCAGATTTAAATACAATGTTATATAGATATTGACAACTATGCAACGATTGGTTATTGTTGGTATATATTCTGATTGAACTACCAATAATGGCTATTGCACACAAAGTCACCCAATATCCTGCCGATTGTGATTGTGATTGTATTCCACATCCAATTCTAGATTGTAATCACAACCACAATTACTGTGCTTGATCAAGTGATGTTTTGCATTGATCATGACATCATACATCACGATACTGCCAGATTACTGCACGCAAGTCATGACCAATACAAATGCATTACTGATTGACATTGATCGACCCATAAACGCAGTCATGCAGCACAACAAATCACCAGCATGCCATTGATCGTGTTGCAATACAATTGTCCAATATTACTGACTGAATACAAGTCACAACTGCAAGTATTCATGTGGTAATGGACTGACATTGGTGTTGATATCCAATTGATTGATTAATCGACCATCATCAATTACATCAGTGATTGGTATATGCAACTGATATACACCATGTCCGAGTCTGATATATGTTGATATATGCGTATCAATCAGCAATGCAGATTTGTGGTCACAAGCTGTGTAAATGTGAGTCAAGTCAATCATTAAACCAACGAATCAATAATTGCATTCTAAATGTGGTGCGATTTGATGCGACATGACAATATATTGTTCAACAGGTTCAACATATACAACACCGATATTCAATACATCACACATGAATACACTGTATATACAAGCGGTAGCAATGACCAATCCAAACCAACAGTGACAGAGTTACTCATCAACATATACTCGATTATCAGTCGAGTCTGCATATATCAACTAGTTGCAACACGTCATAATCAATGTGGATTGTATTGTCCACCAATCGATCATGACAGCTAATCAATACCAATCATGTAGTCAATAGAATCACCAACATATCCATGACTGTTGGCTGGCGGTTACAACTCGTCAATTGTATCCAATGTTACAGGTGATGCACATCTGATTACTGCAAATCAACAACCTGTCAATCATATCATAGTGTGTATTGCCAACGGACCATGCAATTACAAATCAATGTATACGTGATCAACGTTTGATATTTGATGGTGATGAACCAACCATGATTGATTGTATCATACAACTAATACAGTTGCATTGTCTGGTATTGATGATCAACCCAGTCATGTCAAACAGTAACTAATGTGTGTATATCGAGTTTGAGTTGCATGGACACATCAAGGTGATTGATAACGAGTCCAACGTGATGATACAAACCCAATATTATATGAATATCCAAGTTGATGAATCAAGTCGAGGTTTGCAAAGTGTCAATGTCAGGTCAATCAAACGAACCAGTCAACCATTATATTGTGACTAGTGATGGCACGGTTTGAACATCAACGAGTTGAACAGTCGATAATATGGGTGATTGTGATTTGGTCAAACCGCAACATTCACATACCACTGGGTCGGCTTGGTGTACGCGGTACTCGATCGGTGTAATATGATCGTGTCAAACATATTATCGTATTGCTATAAATGTGATTGTATGACAACGGTGTGTATGAATAATGCTTGTGTTCATCATGTGATAACACAGTATACTTGCCGCATTACGATGCCACAAAGCACTTCTACATGAAATTCAACCCTAATATTAAACTTCCAGCTTCAACAACGAATCATCATGTAAACACAACTCCCTTAAACTACCCTTACAGTAACACTGGGTCAACACTAACCTTGATAATAACACAAATCCCTTAGGACGGTCGTTTAAAAGCATGCTTGCAATATTATACACTAATATATAAATACAACTAAACATCAACTTGCCGAATGACAATCTACAACTTGCTCGACCAAACCAGTAAAAATGAAACTTTCGATCGCCATATTGTCATCGATCCTGCTTGCCTGCTCGGTCACTGTTGCCGACCCAGTTCTTACCAGTTCGACTACAAGTACTGCAACTACCACTTGTCAGCATCTCCTAGTGCGACTGCAACTAGCGGACCTGACTTGACAAAACTATTCGATCCATATAGTATATATATGTCTGATTGCTACCCAATTGATTTTGATGGAATCACACTGATTGAGTCACTTGCAAAAGGTGTACGTAGACTTGAAAGACTGCTACAAGATACTAGCGAGAAAAAAACCGAGATTAAAGATCAAGTGGAAGTGGTTAGTAAGCTCAAGGAAAAATTTGACCATTTAAAGAGTGACCCTTCAAGCAGTAAATCAGAGATGGTCAAACTCAAATCTAAGCTTGTTGGATCCATTGGGATTTTTAAAAGCCTCAAAAGACAGATGAAGGAGCTCATCAAGGAGTATTCGCATACGAATCAACAAAATGTTCAAACACGAGCGATGCTTGGAGATTACTTTACGAAACATCATTCGGTTGGATCAACGAACTCTGACGGTACGATAAACACTGAACCATATCCTGGATTCAAGAAATGTTTTGATCATTTCTACTATCGTTTACCACAATAATTGCCACAATCCGAGTATGGTGTCGTTCTCAAGATTTTGGTGTTTAGTAATAAACCCTTCAACCATAGACTCGTCACATTGTTGCAGCTCAGTAAACTATCGACAGCATCATCCAGCATATGTTGTAATGCAGCGTGTATTGCGTGTTGGTTTAATTGTCATTTGTGTTGCATTCAATGTCGCTTATTCAATAAACATCATGTATTGCCAAACCATAGTGTATTATACTGATGACTTGATCATACTACACCAATCAACTACTATGCATTGTATTGTATTGTATTAATCATTGCAATGTCATTTCTGGATCCACGCGATTGTGTATATTTGTCATTTGGGATTACCAATCAACCCATTCCATTTGACACCAACTCATTGGTATCACTATACTATTTGATTCATGTGATACGAATGGACTATTACAACCATCAACAAATGTGCAATTGTCACTCGATATATCGACTCTGATATGCAACACTATGCTGTGTTTACCGTGATCAGGTTTTTGATCAATCTTGGACTTACAATACATGATTTGTCATGTTGGATCGTGTGGATGTGTCATGGACTGCAATTTAGTTGCAGACACACATATGCTGGACATTGACTGATGCATACTGTGCAACGACTGATCAGTGCAGGTGTGATTGCACACTTAGTGGTATTATGCATTATGGTTGTTTGACAATGGATGGATGCTGGATTAGTCAGTTATATGCAACCCATTTGAATCGACCTATTTGGACAAACACTCGATGTAACTGACAACAATGTGTATACATGGCTGTTGGATCAGTCGAGTTTCTGCTGGTAGCGTACCAGTGATAACAAGCACTGTTTTGACACCATCACTAAAACAGTCATACAGGAGTTGACCAATACACTTGTAACACTGCCAGAATATGCTTGTATAATATGACTTGTTTGTATGAGATGGTTTTGTGGTTCAATATCTGAGTTTATTTTAAAATTCATTCAAAAAATATATGCAGTGTATACATGTGTGATGTATTGAATATCGGTGTTGTATATGTTGAACCTGTTGAACAATATATTGTCATGTTGCACCAAATCGCACTACATTTAGAATGCAATCATTGGTTCGTTGATTTAGTGATCGACTCGACTCACATTCGACTGTAATGTTCACAAATCTGCATTGCTGATTGACAAGCATATATCTACATGTATCAGACTCGGACATGGTATATATCAGTTGCATATACCAACCACTGATGCAATTGATGATGATCGATTAGTCAATCAATTGGATATCAACACCAATGTCAGTTCATTACCACATGGATACTTGCAGTTGTGACCTGTATTCATTCAGTAATACTGTATGTTGTGACTCGATACAACACATCATGATATATTGGACAATTGTGATATAATACGGTCAATGGCATGCTGGTGATTTGTTGTGCTGTCTGACTGCGTTTATGGGTTGATCAGTGTCAATCAGTAATGCATTTGTATTGGTCATGACTTGTGTGCAGTGATCTGGCAGTATCGTGATGTATGATGTCATGATCAATGCAAAACATCACTTGATCAAACACGACAATTGTGATTGTGGTTGTGATTACAATCTAGAATTGGATGTGGAATACAATCAAAATCGGCAAGATATTGGGTGACTTTATATGCAGCAACCATTATTGGTAGTTCAATCAGAATATATACCAACAATAACCAATCGTTGCATAGTTGTCAATATCTATATAACATTGTATTTAAATCTGTGTGATAGCAAGTCATTGAACAACCCGACCTGTATACAAAATTACCAATAAACGACAAATGGGATCAATCTAAGCAGTGTACAAATGTATGCTGGTCAAAAAACATGACCAGTTGAACAATCAGTCAAATATTTGGTATACAGTAACAGCATATTCTGTAGTAATGGATTGTAGATGTGATGACAACTATCCATAATCAGGGTGACAATTTGACACTATCTGATCACTGGATACATGACCGCAATTGGAGAGATTAACACAATATACTACCGAGGTTGATTTTCCACCAACAGCGATGCTTGTTATTGATCCACCCTACAGGGTGTTCCCGGCTTTGTCCACTCTACATGGTGTATTTGGCGTTTTTTGTGGTCATTGATTTGAAAGCTGCCGATTGTCACCCTTGAAGCTGCCGTCATTATAAAACAGCAGTCATGTACCAGATTCAACCCATTTTCATTACACTACTCGATACAATGTTGATTACTCTAGAATGCGTTCTACTTGCGTTACAGGCGGTTTCTGCAATTCGAGTTTCATTACATTCACCTTTTGAAATTACCAGTCAATCAAGCAGTAGGCTGTCAAAACGATCACCCGTTGTGTTGGGTGGTGATGTTGCTCAATGCTACACAATGAGATTTAATGTTGATGGAGTTGATGTATGTATCATGCCATGCATTGTAATTCGATATCAATTTGCACCACGTTTAATCAATCTCACATTTGTTTAAAATAGTTGCATCTACGGCTCGATTCAATGATTTCTGATATAATCGTACCACTTCCTAGTTCAAGTGACGATTTAGGTTCGACTCCAGAAAGTACTCCAAGTGGGGAACCTATTACTATAAATTACAGAGGCAATGATTATAATGCATTTAGTTCCACAGCCGCTGTGACAATTTCGGGTACCGAAATAACTGGAATTGATTTACCAGTATTGGCAGTTCAAAAAAAGTCGCCAGATCTATTTGGTATCAATCCAAATTTTGATGGAGTATTTGGCTTTGGCCACCCATCGTTGTCAGAGCATCATTCACCAATCACTGCGATGGATGTTTTGTACAATGGTGGTGTCATTTCCAATAACGAGGTTAGTCTTCAACTATGCTCGCATGATATTTTTCAGCAAAGCTTCGTCAATATAGGAAACACGGATATAACTCCAAAATGTGGAACGGATGGAACAAGTGTCGCGTGGGTACAATCGCCAACAAACGATTGTCATAATGTCAACATCAAGAGTATACTAATCAATGGCGAACAAGCGAATCTGCCTGCTGAATTTCAAAAAAAGGTGGAAGATGATCATACTTTGTATTCATATATACAAACATGTTCTTCATATATGATTTTTCCTGAAACAGTCGTGACTGCGTTGGTTGGTGCTATTCTTGATAGTGGTGCGATCACTATCAAAAATAATCTGTTTACTAGCAAGCTCAGCAAAAGAGAAATTAAAAAAATATTTTGGAGAAGCTACGCAATGCCTGAATCCACTTACAATATCGATTGGAACAAGCTGCCGTCGCTTTCGATTACAATGCATGCTGAAACTCCCGTAACCCTTGAAAACTATAATTCCGTTGTAACAATCAAACTAAGTCCCAAAGACTATATACAGAGAGTCAATTCTGAAAGATGTAAATATTTGGCAATGTATGCAATATGTGTTGTTTGATTAACCTAGCTGACATACATGTTGGATTATAGTCCTGTTTGCTGTAGCAGTTGGTTCAAATGATCGTGCAGCTCTTGGTATACCATTTATGACCCGACTTACAGTCACATTTGATCGAGCACATAAACGCATTGGATTTGGTCCTGGATGTGAATGCGAAACTGCAACCAGCGAATATCCTACTATTTCGAATGGTGATCGAGTGCTCTGGCCATTAACACAGTAAGTTGTTTGATGTGTGGATATGTCAATTGATATTGATCATGAATTTGATGAATACTGTTAGATTGCCTGAAGAACCAAGTACTTCAGGTTCAGATGGTACATCTACTCTTAGGAGATTGTCGCGACTTGGTAATACTCTCCGTGGTAGTAAGCAATCAAAGTTTAATTACAAGAAAACTGGTGACTAAACAGATGTATCAATAAAACTGGTTATTTGTTGAATGGATGATGGCCCTGATTATGTTATAGTTGATATGATGTACATCAGAACTCTTGGTGTTAATCAACAACTACAACTGATCAAAGAGTCGTGTCTGAAAACACTCACCACATTGTCAAGAGTCACAAACAGACTCTCAATAAACTCGACTGAATACAATTCATTAGTGACAAACTGATACTATATGTATTTTTAATGTGGTGTGTCCATGTTGCATTGTGTGATATTCCCCTTGCTTTAGTATAATTTGTAACCTGTGTCTGGATGAAAGATTATAAATATATCACATGATTAGCAAATCAAGCTAATTGTGCAAATATAATGTCCTGGCTAGATTCAACTGGCTACTTTAGTTGATTTCAATCGTGTCTTGTACAGTCAAAATAATGACAAATATGGTATTATTGTACTATCATACAATGTATAATAACGGTGTGTTTGTCAATGTAATCAAATTTTGACATTAAAACAACAATGGTTAGTATTTTGCGCTATTCATTCACAAGTTCATGTATATTCACGATATTACTTAACAGACATCTATAAAAGTCGTATCATTTGTGCACTATAATTCCGCCACTCATTCTTTCAATCAAATCATTACCAAGCCATTTTTGTCAACATCCACAGTTGATTTTATCCAAAATTGTGTAAAACAAGTGATTCTGACACTGTTTTCTTGAAACATATCAATTTATTTCATACAACATATTCCATTTATCAATCTTTTCACAAGAGTGTTGGAAAAGCAGGTCAAGCAACTTATTTTAAAGTTTCAGCTGACAAAACATCATCAAATGCAATAACTGGTGTTTCCAAGTTGAAGCAACGTAGTTTCGTAACACCTGTTTGATCTCGTCTAAAATACATGTATTTTTGATAGCATACACTATCCGATTTTCAATAGCAGAAATACTCTTCAAAAACTGTTTTATTCATCAGACTCCTGATTTGTTTGTATTTGTTTCCTGAACTGAGTTGAACATTGAGTGTTGAACTGTAATTGACTGATTTTGCTCTTGATTGTTGCATTGCCGTTCACTCTTTGAATTCAACCATTTTGAACGCTTTTCATCAAGTTTGTATTTCAAAAAGAGATGCTACTTGCAACGTTATCGAATTTTTCATGTATAATGTAAAAATGTCTATTGAGCAGACATTTGTCCATTGGATTCATTGATATCACAGTCTTATCATACGGCTTTATGTGCATGCTTGTGAATTGCCCAATCACTCCCGTTTTTGGCATTGAATATGGTTATAATATGCTTGTTTTTAATGTTTCCAAATAAAAGTGATGGTGAAAATCCATACTGTTCTTTCCAACACAATCAGGAGCATTATCAACACACCTCGTCATTGCACACAAACTAAAAAACAGATATTGAACGATATGATATGCAGCAATCCAGTTTAAAAAAAGAGCGGCAAGATTTGTATTTGTTTCAAGCAACATATTTTCATACAAACAAAGCCAATAAGTGTCTACCTTGTTAAACCTTGTTAAAGTTGGAATTGGCAAATATTCAAAGTTTATTGCAAAATATATCCATGACTTGAAAAATGATTGTTGTTGGTTGGCTCCGAGATTGAATGTTTTTGTTGCTGTAAACACTGAGACTGGTCCTTGCATGGCTAAAAACTTGGTTTTTGACAATCTTGTTGTTGCAAATCTATCAACAGCAAAATGTAAATATAAAAGTATTTGGATGGTTATATTGCCACAAACACATTGTAATCAACAACGGGAGACATATTGGAGTCAGTATTAGTTTTGATGCAATGCATTGCAACATTGACAAGATATGCGATCGTGTGTCTAATTATTTTGTGATCCAAGAGTGTCAATATCCAATGACTTACAATTCTGATTGTGGTGGAATGATTGACTCTACATGTTGAACCCTTTCCATTGTCCTGGTGTTTGGAATGACGATTGGTCATCATGTGTTGTTGTTTAATCCAGACTATTGGCTGGTTATTACTTTGAACATGTCAGAATTGACAGATGTTACACTGGTAGCATCTACTTTTGCCTGTAAAAATACAAATCACTTGTTGCGGAACATGTTTGGATCTTGGAAACTATGTCTGTTGTTGAATGGAGTGAATGCATTCATGCATCTGTCTTGTTATCGTCAGTATTTCCAAGTTTAGCATCAATTCAGTTTTGTGCAAAACCATCAATATACACAAATGGAGTTGTGTATGCAATGCAATGCAAGGATATTTATAATGACGACTGGATTCCTATGTTTTGGAACAAGTTCTATTTGCAATTACGAATCATGATGATAAAATTGATCATTGAGCTCATATTCAAGGTTCCGTGTTTGGTGTTGGTTGCATATGACTAATCAAAGTTATTTTTGATTTTGAAAATCCAATCTGTATATCAATTTCATCTTGAAACTTTATTGAAGGTTATTTCCAACTGAATCCAAAAAATCCCAAACACCGTTGCCAATTTTGTCAAAAAACTGAGGCGAGTTTTGACTATTGATGATTCTCATATCTTGAACATCAACAGGGTTCTTTTCAGCAGTATGAATAACCAGAGTCTGTTGCAATGAGTAGCCTGATTCGTGTAGTTCCGACAAAGTGCTAAAAAGGTGAGTTCGTTCTTCTTCAAACCCTTTCAACACTCCACCGCCATTACGTTTGCAATAAAAGCGTTCAGGATCTGTAGTATTGTAAGCGTTTGCAGCTTGTTGTTTTGACATTTTCTTGACAAATTTGATTTGGACAATGTATACAGTCTTTGTATTGGCACACTTGTAGATGATATCTGGTCCACACATATGATCGGGAAAGTATACTTGATCTGAATCATCAAATAGTAAATATATGGATACAAAATCTCGGGATGTCTTGATACTATTGGCAGCATCAGGACCAGAATAGTTGGCTACTAAAGCAAACGCAACCAAGTATTCCACCAAATAGCCAACCGTTTGAGGGTTAGGGTTAGGATACGAGCCAATTCTTTGGTATAAACTTTTGACAGTGTGTGCAAAGGGGAAAAAGTAGCAAAGACACTCGATTACAGCCAATTCTTGAATTTCAATGGAAGATATAGTTCCATTGACAGTCTGACCAAATCCCAAGCCGTAAAGTATTGCATTAGCACCGTCATTGTCTGTCACTTTAAGGTGCATTTTTCCCTTCCAGATGGCATCAATAAATGCGTCGCAAATGGGTCCTGACAGGGTATCACCAGCAATGACTTTGTCAAATGAACGAATGTTTTTATCAAGGTCATTTTTCAAGAATCTAAGCGGGAAAATCTGGCCATCAACATTAGATATCCCAGTGATAAATTTGCCAATCGCAGCGTCAATATCATTTGATTTCATATATGTGCCCAGAATATACGATATGAAACATGGTCTTCCATGACATAATTCAAAGTCTGAAATTCTTGATATAATAGCATCCACTTGATTGACTTGATGATCTTGTAAAAATTGTCTAGCATACTGTTCGACCTCGAGCTTTGTCAGAGAATGGAAATCTGATATAACTACACAATCTGTGACTTGACCATCCTTCATAACACTACCCTCCGATGTTCCTTTGATGAGTTCAAAGTCAATACTGGTGGCAGACAGTAGGCAATGAGGAAATATTCCCATCATTTTGGAATGGTATACAAATGGAGTGAAAAAGGGACGAAAGTTTCTACTTTCTGGTTGAAAATGAAAACGACGACCTCGTGCAAGATTTCGGACTCCATCAATGGCAGTAAAAGGAAACGGGTTTATAATAGCAGTTGAGGAAAGTCCAGGTTCTTTTACAAGGGTCGTAAAAAGACGCTCAAACAAGTCAACTCCAAAGAATGCGATAGGATGGAGTTGAGCCAGAAGAATTTGCCAAGGTTCCTTGAATCCCTTGCTTATCAAGTAGTTGCAAACAGAAACCCGAACGAAATACAACAGTTGGATAGCATGCTTAGTGAGTTCAGGTTTACTGTCGCAATACATCTGGCATTCATACATGCTTTAGAACCAAAGTCATCTTGAGAGCTCTTGCAAGCAAAGTAGTACCCAAAGTTTGAATAAAGCAACTCTAGAAACATCCTTGTTTTTCCTGCACCAGAAACAGCAAAAAACAGTTTGATATTATCAACATCGTCAATTTGATAATTGGTTACTCTCCTATCAAGACGGTGTTCCAAGCAATTGTCGTTAAATACGGCGTTATTTGGTAGCCTTGATACATCGACAATATTTTCCAGATGATGTATCAAATACTTGAAAGCGTCATTTGGGTTTTTCAATTTCAAATTATTGGTTTCGATGAATTCTTGGTCAGCTCGACTTTGTACAAAGTGTCTTTGATAGGGACGGTCAACATTCACATCATTCTTGGATTTAATAATCAGTGGACTGTTGTAACAACCAAAAGGATGTTGAATAGATGTCAGAAGCCCATATTGAGAAATGGCTGGACCATACACCTCAAAATGAAGAGTGAGTTCGTCAACAGGAATAGCATCAAGGAGGGGAGTGGTGGCAGTCTTGTAAGCTGAAATCAAATGAGAAACAGTAATCGGAGGTAGATTTCCTTGTGGTCCTCTTCCGTTGTCTGTATCGATAAGCACTGGAGAGTTGTTCTTGTATTGAAGATAAAATTTGGTCATTTTTGAGTTTGTTGAAAGAAAAGAAAAGAAAAAAAGAACAAAACGTGAATTTGTCTCACATTCAAAATTTAAGTGAGACAAATTCACACACTTTGAAGTGTTTAAACATTTGTCATGTGTTCAATATAATGACTCGAGTCTTTTATTCAACATTTTAATATTTAATTATTGTTAATCAGTCAATTGTTGGATTGGTAAATGTGTTACAAAACATGCATTTACATGCTGAATCTGACAAGTGGATGTGGATTGTTCCAATCAACACATGGATTGGATCGACTGCAATATTGTCATTGATTGCAGTCACTGTTGACCAATACACTGTAATACATTGACAGTTTTGACATCAACATTGTCATTCATGTCAAGTTGTGTGTAGTTGCTAATATTACACCACAGCAATAATGTGTCAACTTTCAAGTCCTGTGATACACTGTTTCAACCATGACCGGATCGAGGTTGATCACTTGTCAATACACGGGTCAGTTGTTTAATCGTACAACTGTTGGTTAACCAATGTTTGACTGTCGATATTTGAATCATGAATATTATCCATCATTTCATGACACCATCTGATACATTCAGTGCACAGTAGCTGATTGGTGCAATATGATCAATTCAAGCATACTACTACACTGGAAATGGTGGTGACAATGCAAGGTGTTTATTGGACAAACAAGATTGAATGCTTACATGACAAATGCAAATTGACAGTATAAATCATATAATACACTACAGTACAACATATTCTAAACAAGGTTGTTGATAGCGTGATTCCAGTTTTACAATGAAATTGAATTACTAAGCAGTTTATTGTTCAAACATTGATTTATTATACATTTTTAGTTTTGGTACTTCAGGCTTGTTAATTTTGAGTTTGAATTTTCAAATGGGCTGAATTTCATCCTCATCGTTTGTTGATTGAGTAGGTTGAATTTCATCCTCATTGCTTGTTGATTGAGTAGATTGAATTTCATCCTCATTGCTTGTTGATTGAGTAGATTGAATTTCATCCTCATCGTTTGTTGATTGAGTAGATTGAATTTCATCCTCATCGTTTGTTGATTGAGTGGGTTGAGTTTCATCCTCATCGTTTGTTGATTGAGTAGATTGAATTTCATCCTCATCGTTTGTTGATTGAGTAGATTGAGTTTCATCCTCATCGTTTGTTGATTGAGTAGATTGAATTTCATCCTCATTGCTTATTGATTGAGTGGGTTGAATTTCATCCTCATTGCTTATTGATTGAGTGGGTTGAATTTCATCCTCATTGCTTGTTGATTGAGTAGGTTGGCTTTCCTCCTCATCGTTTGTATCAGATTCACGTGGATACTCAAAAGTTTTAGTCTTGGGGTTAAAGCGTACTTTAGCTTTCTTTGAACCAGCATCGTGACTTGACTTTTGCTGATGTTTTTTAGAATGATCGTGTTTTGAGCCGTGGGGTTTAAAAGTAGATCCGGTTTTTAAGATGGATTTTAATTCTGGAGTAGGTTCAGATACAACACTTATCGATGCTTCTTCAGGAGGTTCAAGAGCCAACTTGCGACACATCCATAATCTTCCTAGCTTCAGTCTCTTGAGCTTTTTTTTATCTGACGGGCTCAGTTTACGCTTACGTCCCAATTGTTTAGTCTTTAGTATTCTTTCCTTTGTCTTGGCGTTCATCTTGTGCGGATATCCGTCTCCAACACTTTCTGGAATTTCCATACCCTTATTCCTCATTTTTTGTTCGACTCTATCCAGCCTTTGCTGAGGTGTGAGAATAGGCCGTTCATTCTCTGGGATATATTTTTTAGGGAGAGGACAAGCGCCGTCGTATGGTGCACCATCAAATATATCATCATCAAAGTCAAATAACTCAAATAATGACGGTGATTCATCGGACTGTTCAACAGAGTTGTCGGGATCATCGGAATCTATAGTTGATTGAGCTACATCATGATTGGTTTCAGTTGATTGTTGCTCTGTTCCAGTTGAAGCACAAATACCAGTGTGTTGCTGCATTTGTGTTGAACATTCTTTTACAGGTTCTGATTCGCTGGTAGACGGACGATCAATGACTACTGCACTGACCGTCACCGACAACAGTGACAACACAATAGTCGATATGAATTTCATCCTGTTGACGAGAATGAATGTGATAAAGCTTGTCGATTGGTAGGACAATTCTTGGTAATAAATGAGTCGGTTGTAGATATGCACTATGCTTTTATAACGGTTAAATATATAATCAAAAAATAAGGGTTATATAAGCTTACGCAGCAACAACTCGACCGCCATTTAGGTATATGTAGCACAGATACTCATGTGTAGGCTGTTTTATGCACAGCCCTTTAACCACTAAATGAAACAGGACTCATAGTCAAGGACTGGTGACCCTGACCCATATACTAAAAAATATATTGAAATGGTTTGCATAGTCAGTCAGTTTCAAGTTACGGTCAGTATAGGGTAACGGTTTATCCACACAACAGCTGGTCAAATATTAGTGGTAAAATCCTTTAAACGGCTGCCTCAACACTTGATCTAGTGATATGATACTGTGTTGCAGTCCTGTTCAATGCAGTATGGATTGATGGTCATATCAGCAGTATCAATACTTTATGCCAACTGTAATACTTTCAATATGCAAACTCAAAGTATTGCCAATGATTAGAAAAGCTTCAACATAACTCTTGAACTGTCAATTGTCATGCTATCAATAGTATGAACATCCGACTCAATACTGTACATGACTGGTTGTCAAGAGTCTTGCAGCGTTTACTTGTCAAACTGGATTCCTGTTTCGATTATACAAACATGACATCAAACACATGTCTACTTTGGAACAAGACGTTGAGTTGAATGTCCAGCAATATACAAAAATATACAAAAACAGCACGAATTGAACATCAAAACTCGATTACTAACAATTTCAAATCTACAGGAACGAATACGACAACTTGCAGTCTAGTCATGTAAACGGAATACTAACAGTGTTGGTGTGTGATAAACAGTCAGTGCCATGACATGGTTGACAATACAGTGGTGTTGTTGGTGGTGATTGGCATGCAAACAACAGTTGCATTACTGACATGTGCCATGATTGTTGTTGAATTAGATTGCGATCGTATCCGTGATTCAGAATACAATAAATGTGTGTACAGAGTTGTATTGACAACATTGGCAGTCCAACACAATACATGAATGTGGGTTCAAACTTGGTGACCATACAATGTATGACTACCAAATGTGTCGAGTATCCATGCGGGATACTAAATGGTAATATGTGATGATTCAAGGACTCGTATCACCAATGTTTGTGTGCCGTAGTTCCACTATTTGACTTGGTAAACAATAGGAATTACACCTATTGATCAATTTACTTTTCTGATTGCTCATCATACATTCTACTTGTTCGTGTCACCAAGATACAAACAATCAATTACTACAAGACTGACTATAACTCATATTTATTAATAAATGACTCTTCCAACCATTTCAACATATTATTGTTTTATTACATCTTTTCATTATCATTGAAAAAACCAAGTCTGCTGATCCTGAATTATTGTGCAACTCTCATTACACTTTTGATTTGTTATTTTCTGTCAACTACTAACAGTTACAGATCATACACACACAACTCCATTTAAATTAATATAAACCAGATTACACAAAACTCCAACAGAGTTGATGGGCAAGTTGGATATAAAGTTGTTTTCAATCAATCCGTTGGCAATCATGAGAGCATACTTTGATTTGTATGTACGCAATACTGCTGTCATCTTGTGTATGATGTTTTCTATTCCTACAAACACATTCCATTTCCAGCTGTTTTCTTTGTAGACATTTGATGTTGTGTAACAATGAGGGTGTAAAATGTAGTACAGAAATAGACGACTAAATTACATTTATTTCAATGAGTTTAGCACTCTTGTTCAAGTAAAACGGTATCATCCGATATTCACTATACACTACTTGTACGTTGAATCATGCCAATCACTTGTTATTTTAACAAGCATGGGATATCACAACACATGTTGATGACCAACTAATATCCGAGTGTCGACTCATTTCAGTTTTCGTTTATGCTCATTTTTTAACCCTAACCCTTGACCATAACCCTTTTTAGGGTGAAGCTTTATAGCCAACCACATGATATTCGAGCGTATGGTCAGATAGCAATTCAGTCAAAATTGTGGGTCATCATATAAAGGGAGACTCTTTAAAGTTTGACGTTGGTAACAAATCAACATTCAACCCTGACAGTAATACTAGCCCTTAGGACGACCATTCAAGGGATATGCTTTTAATGTTATTTATTCAGTAATGGATATAAATACAGTTCAAAACTGGCTTGTTGAATGACATTACAACTTGCTCAACCAAACCAATAAAATGAAACTCGCAGTTGCTGTATTGTCATCAATCCTGCTTGCATGCTCGGTTACTATTGCCAATCCAATTGATCCCAGTGCAACTACAAGTACCGAGTCTAGCACTTCAACCTTCATTCCCAGTGCAACTACAAGTACTGAGGCTAGCACTTCAACCTTCATTCCCAGTACAAAAGGTATAGGTATAAGTGGTCTTGACCCACTTCCAGGTAACGTCAAGCATTTGCTCGACAAATACGTAGAGATAAAGGATGGTCGTAATCAGCAAAGAAAAATATATTGCCCGTTAAAATCTCGATATGATAGTCAATATGAAGTGGTAATAAACTTGAAAGGTAAGATTGAAGTTCTGGAATATCAATCTCGAAGAAACGGTGGCAGTTCAAAACACAATGATATAGTTCAAAAGGCTAAGCTTGATCTTGAACACCAAAGATCCAAATTTGCCAAATTTCGAAAAGATCTTGAGGCGTGCCAGTCCGAGATTGGTCGTCTTGTAGAAAAAAAATGGAAAACCGATAAACGGATTGTGGGTCTCGTTTTCGGAACCCCTGTGAATATTGCAGCAGTTCCTCACCAAACTTTTCTTATCAAAGAAGCGCCTTCCGTTAAAGATTACCTTGAACAACAATTATTAAAATACGAGAGTGTTGACCAAAACCCTAGTGATCAAGAATATCAAAATCCTAGTGATCAACAACGTCAAGACTCGCAATCGTCATCAAATACACCATCTGGATCTGGATCCTCTGAACAGGAAGCTCCACCCAATAAACGGAAAAGGGTTTCCAAGCTTATGGATGGATTGAAATCACTCTTTCAGCGACCCAAACGTGAGGATCTTGAACCATTGATTTGAATGTTAATCTGGACTCGTTTCAACCGATTCAATTCTATTTCTGATTTAATTTACAATAAATTTGTATGTGCATGCATTATATCTGATCATTTCACAGTCTTGGTTGACATTATATCATATTGTACATTGACACTTGTATTCCCAATACAATACAACACAGTTGATTGTGGTGTCAAAATGGTTGCATCAATAGCCTGACTGATCACACACATCAGTCGCAGTATCAACTCTGTCAAGTGTCAAGTATCACATGTTGAATATACAATGCCAACAATATGGTCATTATGCATATGTTGATGTATCCAATGATCGTATACTGGTCGATTGGTGCAATATGATCAGATATACTAATGGGGTGTAGATGTTTGACGACATATCGATAATCATTATAGTTGAGAAGTGTGTTGCAGTTGATTGAAGATGTGAAGGAATGAACCAGCTAACTAATTGCGTTATTTATTAGAGAAAGGGAAAGAAAGTGGGTTGATAAGGTAGAAGAAAAGATATCAACGTATGCGGGTTCTCGCTCAAGTATCATTATTGAGTCCCTAATTACCACAAATCTTTTATCAGAGGTTAGAATGATCACAATTGGTGATTGTAACCCAAATACAGTACAAGTCAACAGACTGCACATCCAACACTCTAATTCCCATTACAATGGTATATACCACTAATGTCCTACATTAATTTCTAACAAGTTTGTGATATCATACAACTGACAAGTGATTGCAAGTCTGACTGATAGTTGCAAGTAAAACCAGTTGTTATCATGTCATTGATGTATATGGAACAAGCCGTGTCAATGTATCAATCAACAATCCAATAACTGTTGATGTAATACCCAACACAGTATGCAATCAATGATATGGTTGTTGACTCATTCACGATACTCGACAAACACCAACATATCAAAAAGTTTAAATTTATTCAAAATCAAATTTATTGACACATTATCAATCTGAATCTGAATCTGAATTAGGTTCTTCAAATTCTAAACCATGCTTTCTCATAAACCTTTTCAAATTTCGTCTGGTACCGGTTACTTTTATTCCTGCCGCTTCATACTCTTGTTTCAATTGCTTTTCAACCTTTGGATCGTACCTTAATCCAGATATCTGTTCACCTTTTTCTAACACTGACCATTGTTTGAATCCAAGAGCCATAGATCCATAATATTCTTTGCGTTTTTTGTTTCGTAATTCTTTAGACGCTACAAGCTTTTGTTTTAAACTATCAAAGGTTTTCTGATCTTTTTCACTTAATTCAGTCACTTGATTTGAAGCAGTATTGCCTGGCTCGACTTTGTCCATTGGCTGTTGCTGGTTTTGGTTGGAAGTACTTGGGCTGGGCTGATCAATTGGTTGTGTTTGACCTCGTTTGGGAGTGCTCGGTCCAGCTACATCTGTTGGTTGTTGTTGGTCTTGGTCGGAAGTGGTTAAATCAATTATGCGTTTTCGGCCTTGTTTGAGAACATTTGGACCAAATACAATCACAGTTGGTCGCTGGTTTGGACCGGGAGTATTTGGATTGGGTTGATACATTGGCCGTTGCTGGATTCGGTTGTGAATACTCAAATCCATTGATTCTTGCTGGTATTCATTGGAAGTTCCTGGATTAGGCTCATTGGTTGAAACGGACACTTGACTGGAAGTGCTTGATGCTTGTGGTGAACCATCGTTATCAGCCGGTATCAGTATTGCATTGGCAGTTGCTGCTGCGCTCAGTACGAATAAAATATCAACCAATTTCATTAGATTGGTCAATGGGTTTAAACGACTAGTAGAAAGTAGTGTTGAGACTGGTGTCGATTAAAATATTGAACGTAATCGATTGTATTTGTATTTTTTGTATAGCAAACCAACCCTAACCCTTTTAGGTTAACCAACAACACATGATCACTTGATTGCTTGTAATGAGCAACTGTCAAACTAGACAATGTGGTGCTCCCTATCCACAATATCATATTAACCAATTTGATTTCGCGCCAATTGAACTATGCTTTTATGACCCTTTTATCAAATTTCTTGGAAATCACCCTTCAAGGGTGTTATGGCCACAGACACTTTGTTTTACAACCGTATTCATGTCAAATGGATTCCTTCGGTATTCATCCTGCAATGACTTTGATTTGCACTGCAATATGTAATAGTTACTACACATTGACTGCATTGCGTGTTCAATATACAACAGCCATCATGGCACACAATCAGACTGTAGTGTTGAATCTACACTTTGTGCACTCTTAATAATCATACATTGTACAATCATCAAGTTTGAACCCACATTCATGTATTGAGTTTGACTGTCAATATTGTCAATACAACTCTGTACACACATTTGTTGATGATATTCATGACCAAACTGTAACAATGTGTATTTTGCATTGAGTTTGAACTGCAATCTGCGACTTGTACGCATTATGATGCATTGTTTCAATATTCATGTTGCATTCATCAACATCAACGTGCAGTGTCGATCTGATGTTTGGTGTTGATGTTGTGTTGATATTCCAACAACACTGAATATCGCAAATCAGGTCAGCATTGACTCATGTGATAATAATCCATGGACAATCGGTTTTACCAAACTGTTGTACAAACATATTGACATTCGATCGATCGGAACGACAATCAATCACTCTAATGTGTTGTTGGATATACAAACTATATTACACATGGTGACTGATGTTGTAACACATGTCGTAACACAACATTGAATCAATCAAACTGCAATTATACACTCCATCATATGTCGCATGTGTTGGCATGTCAAGTGTGGTGATATCAGGTCAAAACAGTCGATTGGCATAATAATCCATCAACATTCGAGTCGTTTGGTCAGCCAAACAGTTGTATCATGCGGTAATATCAATATACTGTGATTGTAGCATGTCATTCATCAGACATTGTTGAAACCATTACAAAACCTGTTTGGACCAAATCAAACTGTGACGAATACCGCATACTCGGATCATCATCAACTAAACCAGGAATACACACTTTTCCAATATTTGCGATTGATGATTGAACCTGATTCATGGCTAATTCGTCGAGTGTTTGCAATGTGTTAATATAACCAGTCATATATCATTTGGTGTTGTTAACTTGTGGTTTGGTGATGGTTGGATTGCAAGTAATTCCTGGACACAACACATTGCAAACCAAGCAACTTGACTACTTGAACAATTCAAACTACTCGATACTAACCGGAATTCAATACAATTGTTGAATAGCCCGTGTAATATCAGATCTAGTCAAGCCAACAGTCAAGTCAACAGACACAACACTCAATACAACTATATACAGCAAAAATGCGTTGGATTCATTTGTGATTGCATACTCATCAATCTTGAATGACAGTGTTTGTGCAGTTTTGGATATAGGTTGTATGGATATTGCAACAAACATGTAGTATTATAGTATGACTGACATATACTACTATTGGATCAAACAACATAACAGTCCGATATAATGTCAAATATATATGTGCATAGAATGGTCACCAAACCTGATCGGTTGTGTATTAATCATAAACAACTACCAATTAGCAACAAGTGACATTCGTATACATTGACAGAATTACTACAGACAACACCAACAATTACAAGATTATGTGCAATATATCAAGAATTGTGACATGGTTTCAATAAACCAACAACAACTGAACAAATGACATTACAATGATTATTCATAGAACAAGGCAATCAAACGACAATGTTAGCGACGATTATGTTGGACAATATTCATGATTCAAATATTGACAGTCAAACATTGGTTAACCAACAGTTGTACGATTATACAACTGACCCGTGTATTGACAAGTGATCAACATCGATCCGGTCATAGTTGAAACGGTGTATCACAGGACTCGAAAGTTGGCACATTATTGTTGTGGTGTAATATTAGCAACTACACACAACTTGACATGAATGACAATGTTGATGTCAAAACTGTCAATGTATTACAGTGTATTGGTCAACAGTAACTGCAATCAATGATAATATTGCAGTCAGTTCAATCCAATTGTTGATTGGAACAATCATTATTCACTTGTCAGATTCAGCATATAAATGCATGTTTTGTAACACATTTACCAATCCAACAATTGACTGATTAACAATAATTGAATATTAAAATGTTGAATAAAAGACTCGAGTCATTATATGAATGACGTAATCAATTGTTGAGTTGAATTGACACTCGATTGAACAATACAAATAAACACATGACAAATGTTTAATTTGACAGTTTTAATTTCACACAAAATTGCTTAATTCAAAGTGTGAATTTGTCTCATTCTTCACACGCCATTAAATTTTGGATTTAAAGTCCAATTTTGTCTCTTTTACAAACTAAATGGAAAACACTTTACATTCAATACCTCAACAACCAACCAATGGAAATAGAAACTCACTTTGATGGAGAATTGGATAGCAAAAGACCACTTGACGATGTTTCAACACTAATTGCAGCCTTTCAAGCAAGACCAGGGTCGCTTCTCGGTAACACTGACTCGGAACTCATCACTCCACTATGTGATGGATCAAGTCGAGATCAACTACAACCAACTGGATATTGAATTGAAACTGAAATCGCATTCACAGCAATGATTGGACCATTCACTCATAATCAAATCACGCAGTGGTACTGGACAAGGCGTCGCTAGTTCAGTGTCAGGAGCGTCAGTGGGTGTGAATATCAGACTGGTTTTGGGGGAACTTGAAGAAACTACAAATCCATCGCTTTCAAATTATTGCCACATTGCCGATTCTTTAAAAAACGACAACTGTGTCGTGCAAATCGTAAATACTCTCCTTTCAGTCACAGCTGGAGAACTTTCCGAGTCGAACTTCACAAACTTACCACTCACGTTTCTCAAAGGCTCGTCTGGCTCAGGAAAGAGTCAGATGGGCTTTAATATCAAAGCCAATATCGGTAATAAGAGGAGAGTGCACTATTTCCTGTTTGATCCTCCTAGCTCAACATCACAGGATATTTACCGCAATTTCCAAAACATTTCAAAGTTGTTCAGCAAGTGTTATGTGGCGGATGAGCACATGTATAGCTCTGAAGCTTCGTCTCCAAGCTGTGGCTCGTTGTTCAAAGAAAGTCTATATATTTATGGATTTATTTTTAAATTGCTATCCGACGAAACTCAATCATCCACGATCAGTATTGATTCAAAGACTGACAAAGATGTTTGAAAACTGATGACTTTCCAAGAAATCCATTGACTTAGATCAGTGTTTATTCTGGATGACTGAGTTTCGTCGGATAGCAGTTCAAAAATAAATCCATAAATATATAGACTTTCTTTGAACAACGAGCCACAGCTTGGAGACGAAGCTTCAGAGCTATACATGTGCTCATCCGCCACATAACACTTGCTGAACAACTTTGAAGTGTTTCGAAAGTTGCGGTAAATATCCTGTGATGTTGAGCTAGGAGGATCGAACAGGAAATAGTGCACTCTCCTCTCATTACCGATATTGGCTTTGATATTAAAGCCCATCTGACTTTTGCCTGAGCCAGATGAGCCCTCGGGAAACGTGAACGGTAAGTTTGTGAAGTTCGACTCGGAAAATTCTCCAGCTGTGACTGAAAGGAGAGTATTTACGATTTGCACGACACAGTTGTCGTTTTTTAAAGAATCGGCAATGTGGCAATAATTTGAAAGTGATGGATTTGTAGTTTCTTCAAGTTCCCCCAAAACCAGTCTGATATTCACACCCACTGACGCTCCTGACACTGAACTAGCGACGCCTTGTCCAGTACCACTGCGTGATTTGATTATGAGTGAATGGTCCAATCATTGCTGTGAATGCGATTTCAGTTTCAATTCAATATCCAGTTGGTTGTTACAATCATCCAATCATCATCAAATCCAAGAATGATGTTGGCTCAAACCCAACAATCACTGATTCATACAATTATTTCAAGAAAACTATCCAGATCAATGGTATCAATGTTTCTACAAATCATCTCAAAAGACCTGATCAACTTGACAAACTCACATACTTGGTTTGAGTATCGGTTTGTCATATTGACTTGTTCATCTGATTCTGCAAAACCTATATTCATTAATATGTATCAACATAGTCTCAAACAAATGTCATTTGGATTTGTTTCTTGGACAAGATTGCACGGCACTTTTGTTGGAAATGCATTGATTGTTCCAAACAACAACGGATAGAATTGGAAAAAGTAAAACTGTTGTTTCTTGATGATGCTCAACAGTAATTACAAGACACAAGTTTATGGAGACTTTTAATCAAAGCATCGTTGAGTTGGTTGCCATTAAGCATGCGATTTATCATTGCATCAAACCATCTTTTTGTTGGAGGAATTTCAAGTCCTGTTGAACTCGGTAGTCTTTCAGGTCTTGAAAAGTGACTTTCTACTTATTCCAGCCAAACTCTGTGAATTCCATGAATTCCATGAATTTCTGGATTTACTCGTTATTGGATTGCCAAACAACATGAACAATGAGACCTTGAAACATGTTCTTGTAACGGAATGTGATGGTCTTGTTGGTGCGCTGTGTGTGTCGATTGATGATCTAAAAACACAATGTCTAAACAACATTGAACCCACTCGAGCAAATCTACTACAATACTGTCTATCAAACAATTCCATGTTGGGTATGACTCGTTGTTTTGGAAGCGAGCATTCAGATCTGATTAGAAATGGTTTTAAACTGTTACTCAAGAAATGCCTGACAAAAATCATCGATTGGACAACTTGGAAACCCAACAAAATATGGAATCTTATTCATCACTCAAAAGGCTGGAATATTGATGGAGTCGTCCGACCTTGAACTTGCTTTTACTTTGCTGTTGGTCAAAAAATACTATTCAAATGGACATTCACAAACTGCTTTCCATCACAACATTTGTCTCTTCAAAAACTCATATGCAATGTTGTCTCATCAATATCGACCAATGTATTGGAATCTGTTTCGTCATGCGGTTTTCCAAATGAAACAACTTTACAGCACATGTTTATGGAGATATTGGTTTACTTGACTAAACCAGACTGTTCAATCTAACCAAAACTATCAAAAGTATTTCCCAACAACTCGAATGTGACGGACACTATTGCTGGTGGAATTGATTATTATTTGGACAATGAACTAGGAATCAATCAACACATTGACAGATTTGTCATCCCAAATGGAAACAACGACAATCCAGTTGTAATCCATATTGAGCCTTGAATTCAAACAGTCGTGAATCAAATCATTAATAAACTACAAAAACAGTCCAATATGCCAACTCGCATTTATCCATGACTCGATATGTGATGTTCAAATGTCTAATATTCAGACTGTGCTGATTGCAATTGTGGTTGTAATTGTGGTTGTGTAAATATCAATCCAATACTCGATTCAATACTTGATTCAACTTGAGCATGTACAGTTTTGTAGTAATCCATTTGATCACATTGACAGAATCAAGCAATGATCTGATTCAACAACACCGAATCATGCATCCATATCACTTGTATCAATCAATTGTACACAATCAGTCAATATAATCAACAATCACTGTCATGATTGATTCAATTTATTCAATTTATTAGTTCCATTTAATTGCATAGATCTGACTGGCATTGCAACTCATTGTTGTAAAATCACAACCTCACAATTCACTGCCAAGGACCAAGATTATACGCCCGCTCATATATGTATTTGTTGTATGCTGCTGTGATTTGAGTTCGGTCACTTGTCAATTCATCTCGATAGTGTTTGGCTTTAGCTGGTGATTGAACACCTTGAATATACTGCGTGATATCAT